TAGGCAAAGTTTTATCCTCATGACTTCTTTGTGGTAGGATGTCAGAGGAGCTTTCTGCCATTTTTTAAAAAAAAGTTCGGCTTTTCAAAATGTTTCACATTCAACGATGTAAGCTAATCGACAAGTATCGCTATGTCAAAACTGCTTGTGTAGAAACCTCTTCATTTTTTTCTATCATTTTCCCTATTAACTATTCTTTTCATTATATTTGAACTTGCAGAACCAAACTTTTGGTACTGATAGACTGTTGAGGTTCCCATTGCGTCATATATACTTTTTGCTCCATCAGCTGTCCTATCGTGCTCAGTGAAAGCCTAAAGCAGAAGCAGTCGAATTGCCTGGAGTTTAGGACAAATTTTTTTTCATTTTTCAGCCTCGTAAAAGAATGCTGAGTTAATGGCATGGGTTAAACAACTTTTATTTAAGTTTTTTGCAAAGCCCTAAAAAATATGGAAGATACAGAACTGAGCGGCGAGGACTTTTCCGGCAACCTACTACATTTTCTACGCATAACTTTTAGCTGTCGCTCTTTTTCTCTGTGATTGTGCATTCAAAAACTATCTCACATAAATATCTATCATTTGCCTGTTTACGTGGTCTTAGGTTCGCTTCTAATGCACATGTCGGCTCGATGTCCTAATCACGCTTTCGTTGGTATGCAGCGTTTCTCGGTATTCTTTTCTGATAATTGCAGAAAGACGGCAGCTCGTATCAGTCAGAAGCATTTTTAACACCCGAAAGCGATGACGGAGGTCAACCCCGTCAAGCCCGTTTCTCCGTGAGTTCATATTTTTGTCCAATTTTTGTAGTGAGCACTGTTCACTTGAGTAACCTTGATTCTTATGTTACCTACTAACTGTAATTTAATACCAAGGTACTTTACGATACAATGTCAGTAAGTTTCGCTCAGGTAAAGCGTCTTGTTGAAACTCTTTGAAGTTTTGTAAAGGTACTTAAATCAATTATTAGGTAATTTTTCACGTTCGTGATGTATCGTAACGTTGCAAAGGTCACGGGAGCCAATCGTAAACACCTCAAGTAGTTGTAGACGCTTTAGGCCCTTTCTTCATATCCACCATATTCCTTACTTTTCTTATTTCTCAGAGTGTCTAAGAAGTGATTTATGGCGGCTTTCAGCCTTCAGTCATAAAATATTTTGCGATACATTCTATGCTTCTTATAATGTGCAACTATGCAACTATGATAATGATTAAAAATTCAATTCGACAATTATATGATTAACTTTTTAAAAAAAGATACTTTAAAGGCATCGTCAATCATAGACGATGCCTTTTATTGCCATTATGTTGATATGAAAATGATGAAGTCCAGAAAAAATCTCGATTCTTTTCCTCCACATTCTGTTTAGCTATTCATTTCACTTTTCAAAAAAAATTGATTTGTAGATTAGTGCAATAAGTACGCAACAATTCCAATGTTCGCCATTATTTAAACGGTGGAGGAGATAGTTCCCGTAATTTGAACGAATTTTTCTGGAGTACTGTGATGTAATCTCAACAATATACAACATATAACAAAAGCAGTAACGACTTATAAATCTAGTTAGCAAAAATCTGTAGCGTAAAAAAGAGCCGGCTAAAATGACAACCCTCTTCTTTTTTCAGCGACATTCTTGCTAAAACTACTTGTTTTCTTGCGGGCTTGAGCAGCTGTTGAGTTAAATTATGAAGCTTACGAATCTTTAGGTAATGTATATTTCAATTTTGGTTTGGGTTTGGAAAATGTGCTAAATTAGCCAAATTATATTCAACTTGAACGCTTGCACATCAAAGACTAGGTTCATGCTTTTATATTTTGGCTTAAGTCATTCGTAGATCACTTTGCCAGGAAGTTATACTTAGTGACCGTGGCCTTTCAAACAAAAGGCATACCACAACAAGAGGAATACATATCTAGATGCATCTTACTTAGATCGCCTATCTGAAATCTGTCTTCCTCATCTGCTAAATCTTTTTTTCTACGAAAAACTGATTGCCCTGTGTACCATTTGGCGCAGATATTCCATAAACGCTCTGAACAGTATTTTATTTATGAGTTTATTTGTTAAAAAGAGTAAGGTTTACACTAAATCAAATATTGCTTTGTTTTTGAATTATTTTTGAGTCTTAGAGCCGTATTTTAAAAAGCCACGGTCGCTAAGTATTCTTCTTTGTATGGCATAGTTCAGTTATCATTTTCGCCATCTTTTTAATATGCAATTGTTCTTCATCTTGCTGCTTTAATTGAAAAAATACCAAATCTGTTTCTATATGTTAGTGTAATGCATATATGCCCTTTAAATTCGTTTATAATCACGGCCGCGGTGTATCTACAACCGTTACATGATGTAGAAACTTTTTGCACATACTATGTGTAAATGAGTTTACAATTATGACTGCTAAATATTGTATGCTTTATTTTCAATTATGTGTCTCGCAATTCGCTAACAAAGTTAAGCTGGAATTGTTGATGTTATCTCGTGTGAATTTTTAGTACTTGCAAAGCCATCTATCTAATAACAAAGCTATATTGCTACAACAACTTCTTCCTAATGTGAAGAATTTCAACCTATCTGTTTTAGCAAAGTGCAAAGTAATTCAAAAAGTGTTATACGTTCGACTGTTCTGGTATCTTGGCATTCCGGAAAGTAGTAGTTCAGCTGGTTTTACCAATGAATCAATGTTTTAACTATCCTTTATTTTGTATTTCGACGCTCTCGCCTTCGTGAGAGTCTGGAAAGACGATACATAAGCGACCTTTTCTCTCAGATGCCAACAAAAGGCGCAAGACAACATTAATCTAA